CTCAGGTCATTATTAATCAATATGTAATCACACTGGTTTTCTTCTTTTTGGGGATACTGGAAGTTTCTCTAGAGCAGCAGACCTTGTCTCTGGAAGTAAGCCACTGGCCTGGCCCAGCACCCCTGAGGTAAGCAGAGGAGAATCAGGCCAGACCGACACCTTCTGGACAGAAGGGATGGGGGTGGGGGTGGGCAGGAGAGGCAAGAGATGGCCTCCCCCCGCCAACCCCATCCAGATGAAAACCTCTCTGCCCACGACACAGGCCCCAGTCCCAGACGGGAGCCTAACCCGGGAGCTGGCCTTCCTCACCCAGGCCCATCTGAGTCTCTGGTCCCCTGGCAGGGCCAGGTGGGGCTGTGGGGTTCACAGACACTTACATGGCCTGCAATCTCCTGGCAGGTGAACTTTTTGGGCTCCTGAAGCCTCTGGCTCCATGGAGTTCACCCTCCCCAGGCCCAGGGACCTCGGAGGTGCTGAGCGGTCGGGAGGGGCAGATGCTGACAGGGTCTGTCCCCCTCCTCCACGCATTGGGTCTGGGCACAGAGAATTCTTGGTTCGTTTGCTCATTTGTGGTTTCTTATCTTCCTCCCACAGAAGCTGCTTCCAGCCTGCTCCTCACCCTGTGACCTCCCTCTGTCCTCCTAGAATGAACTCCTTCAGCGGCATTAATAACATAGGTAAAACTTTATTAATCTGTATTGCCCTGGCAGGTAAGCACATCTGCTCAAGGGGGAAGGAGCCATCCCTTCCTGCATTATCCAGCATGTAAATTGATCTTCTCCAGAGGAAGTCACTGTCTGTAGCTTTCCAAGGCCGTTGCTTGTCTGGACATTCCTGGAAAGAGAATCTGAAGGAAGCTCCCTCTCAATGCTCAGAGGTGCAGAAGTGTTAGACCCCCGCGGAGCGCTGTCTCCCCTCACCCGGCTCACGCTGCTATCTCGCTTCGCTGCCGGCCTCTGCTTCCGCTGCCCTGGGACTTTCTCCCTTTGTAGAGCCTCATTCTCCCTGCTTGAGTATTTTCTACGCTCCCCATGGGACCAGCCACCCCCCAGTGACAGCACAGGTGCCTTCCTGCCCCTCTCCGCGGACGGAAAGCTGCCGATGGAAAAAGCTTTCGGTTCTTAGGCTGTAGCTTAAATGCCAGTTAGGCACCAAAGTTTTCTGAACATACTCTGGCCCCAGGGCTCCCTCTCCCCTCTCATGCCTCTAGTACTTAGCTGGTTCTAGGTCACACATTTTGGCATTTATAATTTTGCCCCAGATATTTTTCAAGAGAGGACTGTTCTTCCAAGCACAGTTTGAGGAGCCTGAAAGTAGAAACCCCATCAATATTTTTTGTACTCTCTCCACCCTAATCCTAAATTTAAGGATGATCCTGAGCACAGAACGAGGGTCTTACAATTGACTTGGGGTCACTAATCCCTCTGACTGTCTCAATATAGCATCACCCACACCCCCTTAGTGTCTGTCTGTCTGTCCAGCGGTGCTCTCTCCCCAGTCCTAGGCTCCGTCAGCAGCCCCTCCCCCAAGAAAAAAGCAATGGCACTGCCTGGACAATACTGGATGACTGAAAGCTAATTGTGGGGTGGGGGGACGAAGGCCCAGGGTCACTGCCAGACCCACCTACCTCACCGCGCTCATCTGTCCGGGCAGTTGCCGGGGGCACCAGGGCAGATCTTCCTCCCTCCAGCTTGCACAGTCGAGGAAATCTCACAGCAAGACAGGCCCTGGAAGCCACAGCTCCTTCAGTTCACACGCGGAGCTATCTTCCCTAAAGCAAATACCCGGAGGACCTGGATCCGGATGAGTTCCAGCCGTATCTCATCACACTGGACACAGAGCACCCTGGTGTGATGAACCACCAGTTCAAACTCTCCTCACGTTTACACTGAGTTTTCTCCCAAGGCCTTCCAGTTCTTCCGTCATGCCTTCCTGACTTTGACCGCTCCTTCAGCGAGGTCTGCTGTGCTTCCTCAGACTTCTTTAAGACTCACTAGGAGGAGATTAGAGAACCAAATCTTTTCTTCCAAGATGTTTGTTCACTCCATGGCAATGGATATTTTTGAGTGAGGGGTGACATCTTCTGCTAGCCAACAAAGGCTACCTCCTAGGCCTTACCCAGTCCAAAGTGTCCTCTTACACCCTGGTATCTATCAGAGTGAAAAGAAAGCAGAGGGCAAGAAGTCTAGGGGTTTGCTGGCCACTTGAGTGCCTCCCAGAATGGTAAGCTCCTTAGAGTAGGGACTGTTGGAATGAAATGAGCTGGTTAATGACAAACTAGGTAATGGGTATTTCTTCAATAATAAGACTTGAAAGTTGAAATGACTCCTTGATCCATGGGCTGCTGAATGCATGTTGTGTTAGCAGGCATGAAAACAATGTTAATCTCATTGTACAACTCCATTAGAGCTCTTGGGTGACCAAGTGCATGGTCAATGAGCAGTAATATTTTGAAAGGAATCTTTTTTTTTGAGTAGTATCTCAACAGTGGGCTTAAAATACTCAGTAAACTATGTTGTAAGCAGATATGCTGTCATCCAGGCTGTGTCGTTCTATTTATAGAGCACAGGCAGGGTGATCAGCATAATTCTTAAGGCCCCTAGGATTTTCAGGAAGATAAATGAGAACTGACTTCAAAATAAAGTCACCCACTGCATTAGCTCCTAACAAGAGAGTCAGCCTGGCCTTTGAAGCTTTGAGGCTAGCGGTTGAAAAGTCCTAGATGACATCTTCTTCTACTAGAAGGCTGTTTCACCTACATTAAAATCTGTTGTTCAGTGTATCCACCTTCATTAATGATCTCAGCTGGATCTTCTGGGTAACTCGCTGCAGCTTCTCCATCAGCACCTGCTGCTTCACCTGCACTTTTATGTTATGGAGACGCTTCTTTCCTTAAACCTCATGAAACAAACTCTGCTGGCTTCCAACTTTTCTTCTGTAGCCTCCTCACCTCTCTCAGCCTTCACAGAATTGCAGAGACTTAGGGCCTTGCTCTGGATTAAGCTTTGGCTTAAGGGAACATTGTGGCTCATTTGATCTTCCATCCAGACCTCTGAAATTTCTCCTTATCAGCAAGAAGGCTGTTTCACTTTCTTGTCATTCATGTGTTCACTGGGGCAGCAATTTTGATTTCAATCATTTTTCCTTTGCATTCACAAGGTGATCAAGTGCTTGGGGCAAGAGGCCTAACTTCCTGCCTATATTGACTTTCAACATGCCTTCCTCGCTAAGCTGAATCATTTCTAGCTTTTGATTTAAAGTGAGAGACATGCAACTCTTTCTTTGACTTAAACACTTAGAGGCCATTGCTGAGTCATTACTTGGCCTAATTTCAATATTGTTGTGCTTTAGGAAATAGGAGGCCTGTGGAAAGAGAGAGAAAGGGGGAACTGCCAGTTGGTGGAGCAGTCAGAACACATACAACATTTATTAAGTTTGCCATCTTAATGGGCAGTTCATGGTGCCCCCAAATAATTACAATAGCAGTATTAAAGATCACTATCACAGATCATCATAAAAATATTAATAATAATGAAAAGGCTTGAAATATTGGGAGAATTACCAAAATGTGACATAAAGACATGAAGTTAGCAAATGCTGTTGGAAAAATGGTGCCAATAGTCTTTCTGATGTAGTGTTGCTAAAAAAACCTTCAATTCGTAAAACAAAACAACAAAAACTCAGTAATGGTAAAGCACAGTTAAGCAAAGCACAATAAAACAAGGTATTCCTGTATTAACCCCATTCATGGTGACTGATTCAGTTCAAAAGAACCAAGCTCACAAGAAGCAGATGCATAAACCAATGCAACTACCAAGTGGACAAGAACAGCTATGAGCAAAGGCCAGGGCATCTTCTCCTGAAGGAAAATCTATTCAGAAACCAAATAACAACCAGAAGATTGCATAATGAATATGGAATAAGAGCTAAGGGAGATAGCTAGAGCTACCTGGGTCCTGGAGAGACCGGAAAAAAAAAATATCCTTGTCTTATGGGACTGCAAGTCTCTAGTTCCTGAAATATTAATACCCACTAGGTCTGCAGTGCAACATCACATTCTTGCTTCTTGTTTCTGTTGCCATCTCCTACATTCTCTCTTCAGCCTGTGCAATTAATTAGGTTTAAATGTTGTGAATTAGTTACACATTCCAAAACAGGCCTTCATGGACTTGCATATCCAAATGCAATGACTACTTTGAACTGTTCTTTTCACGCACAAGGTACATTTTACTGATACTCTTTAGTTCTATGGAGGGTTTGGTTTATCTCCTTAGCTTTTTGCTCCAAGATTTTGTAGGGACCCTCTCACTTCCCTAGAGTTGCCTATAATTTATTATAGTAATATTAACTTCCCCATAAGATACATACATATTTTAAAGTCAAGCTCAAAAGTGCAGAATGGAGAAGAGCTCCTTCAACAGACTTCACCATGACTTAAGCTTAGTTAACTGTAAGCTAAAAAGGTTGATAGACCATCATTTTGCTCTCCTCTTCTCTGAGCTAAACCCTTTGCATCTTCTAATGACCCATTGAAGTGAGGCCTGGAAGAGGCCCTGTGGTCCTTGTCCCTTACTTAACTCTAGCGCCCCAAATTGGTCACGACAATCAAAATGACCCAGCTAGTTCCAATTCACAGACATGCGTTGAACATGGACCACATTCCAGGCACTGGGACTGTAAAGGACTAAGACCCTGTCTGCCCTAAAAGAGCTACGTGTGGTTGGTAAGACGTTCACAAATCAAGGCATTAATTCACAGTTGGCAGCCAAGGTAATAAGAAGAATAATAACGTACTTAGGAAGTGTGGTGAACTCTATTGGAACGACACCATGTTTATTTCAGGCCACGGAACCTTCAGTGACCGGGCAATTTGAACTCCTAGCCACCACCCGGCGGCTCCCCTGCCATCCAACCCGGACCCGCAGCCTTGTGGGACCTGGGCGTGGCCATCTCCGTCCCGCAGGCCTCTGCCCTGCCTCCTCGCTGCCGGAGTCCAGGCGCCCATTGGTTGCGGAGAAAACGGCGAGCCAATCCCTATAGGCCTTAGCGCCCTCCTCTTGAGATCACTTCCGCCGTTGGGGTCAGGCTCCGTCCAGCCCGCCCGGCGTGCCCCGTGCTGGTGAAGTCAAGATGGAGGAGTACGCACGGGAGCCGTGGTGAGTGGTAGCGCTGTTTCTCTCTTTCCCGCCGCGGCTTGCTTTCTCCGCTGTCCGGTCTCCCGAGGTGCAGGCCGTACTCAGCCGCAGGCCTGCTGGGCTTCTGCGGCGTCGGCTTCTCCGCAGTGTACCCCCGGCGGCGTGAGGCCGCCTCCCCTCCCCAGCCCAGCATTCTGGTGACCTTGCGGTGGGTGGGGAGGAGGGGGCCCAGGCCTGCGCTTAATGGAGCCTCGGAACCCGCTCTCAGCCCGGGGCGTAGGCGGCCTTGTGCGGGCTCGTTAATAATTCGCTCTGCACGCCGGGGTGACCTTGGACGCGTCCCTGTGCCCCGCTTTCCTCAGCACCGCGTTGAGGAAGAGAATACAGGCCCCTGAGGGGTGCTGTTCTTGAGGCATTATTTGTATCGTAATATGTGTCTGTAAAGTATTTCAACTAAGTAGAACACAGGTTTTACCCTACGGGTCTGGGTAAGCTTATGTCGGCAGGAGGCTCGTGTTTGGAACTCTTCATTGGGGGAGGAGGGGGACAGCAGTTATTTGGAAAGCAGAGGTAGTGCCATGTGTTTTTTGAAAGGCCTTGAACAGAAATTCATTCATTCGGCATGTGAGTGAGGGCTCTGTGCTCAGCACTTTGTCAGGTTCAAGGGATCAAAGCATGAATAAATCAGGCACATAAATAGTTACAAAACGGCTTGATTGCTGTCAGAGATTCAGGCTCAGGTTGCCTGAGTCATTGAAATATCAGATCTTGGTATTTGGGCAAATGACCTGTTTTATTGTGTAGGAGCAGGAACCGAGGTGATCTCAAGTCTTGAAAGTGCCCAGGACTCACCAGGCCGGCAGTAGCCGAATTGCTCTCTCTGGGCTTCCTATCCACCCCCCCCACCCCCGCCCGCTTCAGTACGTCCTAGCTCTTTAAAGTTACTTTCTCCAGAGGTAATTATTCCCCTTCCTGAATTGGGCTCAGATAGGACTCAGCATATGCTAGACACCCGTTATCAGCTGCTGTTGGATATGGTAAAATGACATGGGTTGGCAGGAGGGTAAATTATTCAACTTCGTTGAGTTAAAGATGTTTATAAGAATAGTTACTGATTAGGCGGCCCTTTTGCAGAGCTCTTAGCACATAGGTCCTGAAGCAGTACAGTCATTTGTCTGGTTAGTTTTGTAGTCAAAACTGCTTTCATCTTCTGGACTGTCCGGTTTGGTAAGAACATTTTCTCAAGTCATCCCATCCAAGCTCAAACTATAAACATCTTTCCCCTCCTTTCTGCCTCCCCCAACAAAAACACACACCATATGCGGTCTGAATTCTTTCAAAACTAATGCCTTTCAGTTCCTATTGTCAGACTCTTACCTGGTATATTTTAATGCCTTTTACAATAGCTTCTTTTTATAATGTTTTTTTTTTTAAACCCTTAGTCTGTATATGATACAATGAAAGAATTTAGGGATTTTGGAGTACTAGAATTTGTATTTAAATATTAGTTTCTATGTGACTTAGGGCAAGTTACTTAATCTCTGAGTTTCTGTTCATCCATAAAATGGAAAAGAGACAGGAATACTAAAAGTTATTACTTCAAAGAATCAGGGATTCTATAGGAAAATGACCTGTCTTGAAAATGACAGGTTTTATTTGCATTGTAAGGCACCGAAAACATAAATAATAACTTAATACGTAACTTTTAATCTTGTTATTGTTAATTCTCTGTTGCCTGTATTTGTCTGGTATGTACATTCTTTTAGAGTCTGGCTTCAGCCTTTTTTGTGTGTGTAGCCCATCATTTCCCTGCGGGAACATTTTGATACAGCCAGACTTTGGGCACTGTTTCCATCTTGCCTTTGTTTCGGACATCCTCTCTCGGAATACGCCAGCTGCTTTCTGCTCTGGATCTGCTGTTTACTGATTTTTTAAATGCTCAATTATTTCAGCTCCAAATAACTATAAGGTCGTTTAAGGCTAGATCTTTTAAAGGTACTAACCCACCACTTGGAGGGAGTTAATAATTCATTCTCCTATGTCTTTCCTCTTTACTTTCTGTTAATATTTATACCATTTTCAAGTAATTTTCCTGATCCCTTTTAGTCTCTCAGAGCACTGCTTCTTAAACTCCTACAGTGAAATCAAGTCACCTGTGATTGTGTTAAACTGTAGACTGATTCAGTAGGTCTTGGGTGGAGCCCAATAGTCTAATCAGCACCCAGTTGTTGCTGATTTTGTGTTTGGTCCTGCCAAAGCCTGAGAACATCTTGTTGACTATTGGAATATCTGCTGCATGAGGTAGTCAGTTCTGTGTGAGGGCCTAATTTGTGTTTTACTTGTAAAGGATATGGTATTTTGACCACAAGGTTTTGTTTTCCTATCTGGCAAAGTCAGAAATACTCATCATTGAAATTCCCCAACAGCAACAATGCAATGAATTCACAAGTTTACCTGAGCAGGGAGATCACCCCACAGGCTCGTTATACCATTTGATGCTTGAGACTAGATAAAAGAAGTTTATTTATAGTGGGTTAAAAGTGAATTTAACTATCATAGACTTCTATTACCCAGATCTTTTGCACTGTTCAGATTGCTCAGATTGCAGTGCACTGGGCACGTTGAGGTGCTGCATTTGGAAGCTGGGTTTCCAAACAACCTTTATAATTTTATGAGTATTAGAGTATTCCAGTGTGTTAAATGGATTGAGGTGCTGCATTTGGAAGCTGGGTTTCCAAACAACCTTTATAATTTTATGAATATTAGAGTGTTCCAGTGTGTTAAATGGATCTGATACAGACTAAAGTTCCAAATGCTAACTTGGAGGAGTTTCAGACTTTAAAAAATTTTTGTAAGTTGTCTTTCTCTGCACCTACTGAACCCTCATTCTTTGGGTTTTGGCTTTAAATTTTAATGTAACTGGGGAGCTGTGGATAAAGTGAAGGTTCTTATGGCCAGGATTCTCACCTGGCCCTGGTCAGCACCTCACTACACACGTGCGGGCAATATGTTGCTATTGACTCTATATAAAAGAGCTTCGTTCAGTGCTCTGGGCAACACGGTGGCATGGCTGAACAGCTGGCTGCAAGAGAGCAGAGACTGGAGTGGTGGCAGCATTGAGGACAGAGACTGAGACGGCTGCGGGGGCAGAGAGGCCCAGAGGCAGAGACTGGCTTGCTGCATGCAGACTTGCACTAAGTGAACGGGGTTCTAGTGATTGACCTGCCACAGTGGGAATAAAGTTGGTTATAAACGCTTTCACCCCAAGAACATTCCATTGTCATTCCTTGGTCTTATTGAATTCATCGTGAACTTGTCTGGGGCTGAAACCCACAGACAAGACAAGAGCTCATCCTGATCCCTAGGAGACTGGATTAACATTGTTGATTATGATGTAATTTTCTACATGTTCATTTGTTCCATACAGTGCTGATTCATAATAGATACACTAGTTGTTAAATGAATGAGTAAAGTGCTGTTGACTGGAGGGAGTTAGAGCCAGTTCCAATCCTTCTGGTCTCGCTGACTTGGGGCTTAATAGATATGGATGTGTTTAGAGTCCTTTATCTTTCTCTGTAATGCCCCAAATGTTTATTGGTTGCAGTGAGCCCTGCACTGAAATCTGTTGCAGCCCTACGGTGTAAGCAAAGGTTTTATGTTTAATGAATGACAAATATAGTCATCTTTTCTTTTTTTTCCTATTCTTAGCCCCTGGCGAATTGTGGATGACTGCGGTGGGGCCTTTACGATGGGTACCATAGGTGGTGGGATCTTTCAAGCAATCAAAGGTTTTCGAAACTCTCCAGTGGTGAGTGGATGAATGATCTTATTTCATCATCACTTGAAACCTGGGTTTTCTGAAATCACTGGTGGCCTCATCAGTGGGTTGGAAATGATCATACTTCTAATATATTTTTGGGTGCTTCCTCACAGGGAGTAAACCACAGACTACGAGGGAGTTTGACAGCTATTAAAACCAGAGCTCCACAGTTGGGAGGTAAGCAGAATTTTTCCATTTGTACTCCAGAATATTTTTTCCTGTTTATTTGAAGATGAAGCTGTGTTTTCTTCTTTTTTAGATTATACCAATTAGTGATTTTAGTTCACTTTAAGCTTGTTAGAAATTAATCTCTCTGTGGTATCTTGATTTATGGTTTATTCAGAAAGTTAACTTCAATTGTTGCATCCATTTGAAAGTCTTATCTTTTTCCATCAGATGCTCAGTGGTGCTTTGTTTGTCTTTTCCTCTTACCGAGAAGGAAGCTCAGGGCCATGAGAGTCAGGAGCGATGGCTTCTGTGGTGACATAAAGCTGAAGAGAATGTGATCTGAAAGATTGGGGTTTCATGAGAGAGAAACTGTTGGAGCTGATGGGGCTCCTCTCCAAGGTTAGCTGTTAGGTACTGTGCAGAGGTCAGTGTAAAATTCAAAAAGCTATTCATTACACATTTTCAAACTTCATTATTCAGAAGCTGGCAGAAGAGAGATGATAAAAAGCTTGGAGATTATACTAATTTGTGAAGAAGTAGTTGAGGTGGAGAGAAGAGACCATGTATGCGCATGAAAAAGACAGTGTTTGCAGTCTTTATCTGGTCACTTTGTGCTCAGAAGTAGTCCTCTCTGTTTTTAGCACATTTTGCTTTCACAGACAGTAGCTAGTAGCTGACGTTTATTGAGTGCTTGCTGTGTGCTGAGCTCTCTGCTCAGTGGTTTACAGCCTTATTTAATCCTTATAGCAACACAAGATGTAAGTACCATTTTCCAGCTGAGGGAATTGAGGCTTTGAGGGTTGAAGCCGTGATACGCTTTTTTCGTTTTCTTCCCTCTGTAATAATTGTACACCCTGGAAAGTAAATAGTGGCTGATTTTCCTTCGCTTGGTTACCATGTTGTTTAAGAATGGTAAGGAGGTGCTCACTTGGCAGTACGTATTCTAAGACTGGGACAGTTTGGAGAAGATTGGCATGGCCCCTGTGCAAGGATGATACACAAATATGTGAAGCATTCCATACTTTCAAAAAGATGAGAAACAGTATTAAAGTACGCAGCAAACCCTGAACCTCTAGCACTTGCAGAAGTCATGTAGGTATTTACATGTTTTTGGAGAGGCGACTTCTATCACATTATACATTTCAATGAAAAGGGGAAAAAAAGCTTAGAGGAGCTTACAGTACGGAGACATAATGACTAAGTGTAATAGTGTATCTGGAACAGAAAACATGAAAAGTGACGAAATCTGAATTAAGTATATGGACCTCAGTCACTAATGTGCTCAGTGTTGGGTCACAGTTGTGACAATGCAAGTGTAAGATGTTAGAAATTAGGGAAACTGGATGTGGGATATGTTATGGCAATTTTCTATCTTCACAACTTTTCTGCAACTAAAATATTCTAAAATTAAAAGTTTATTTTAAAAAAACAGTTGGTGGAATAGAGAAAGAGTACATCATTGAATGAATTGAGATCCTTTATTTTAAATCCTTGAGATTGGGCTTTTTAAGGGAGTTATTGAGAATCTTCATGATATCTTGAATTTTAAAAATACTGGGATGGCATTTTCAGTTTAATTCAGTGAAAATTTACTGAGCTCTTCCAATCAAGATCCAGAGGCAGGCAACAGAGAAGAGTCATAACTGTGTTCTAATATTCTTATAGAGGAAATAAGATAGGCTTTTGACATGTCCCTATTATTCTTCAAGCACCTCCGTGCATTTTTGGAACAAGATATTTGAGAATCATCTTGTATTTTTTTCTGCCCTGGCCACAAAGTCAGCTGTTTCTCCAAGGAGCCCTGATTACTTCAGGTTGAGATGGTGTTTAGAAGCCAAAACCTAGGCACTAAGTGCATCATTACTATTGGAGTGTTGCTGTTCTCAGGCCATCTTTGTAATAGAGTTTTGAAGTGTGTGTATGTGGGTGTAAATGTGAACACACAATAGCATATATACAAATTTATATCTGTATTTCTACATATCTATACACATTGAAATCATGATGTCACACTGATGCCTCTAATGCCAGTCCAGACCTACAGGGTTCATTTGTCCCATCATCCTTTTCGTATGAGTACCTCCTTCCTTGCCCTGCGTGGGCTGTCGCACCCCACAGCAGGCTGCCTTCCATGGGAACACTGACCCCCATGCCAGCCTGGCCTGCCTTGTGGACCCCTGCTTACCCTGCTGTGGCTCCCTACACTGGGCCGCCTTTCTGCATGGCCTTGAAGTCTCCACTTTCATAAATGACCGTAGCTTGCCCTGGCCCTTTTCTTAGGGGATGGAGAGAGAACAGACTGAGGGAGTTGGGAGCATCTTGTTTGAGGCATTTAGTGAAGTAACTCTCATATACCTGGGCATCATCTCTCTCTCCCTGGGGATCGAATCACGGAGTTAAAAAGAAAGAACTGGTTTGTTTTTATGTGGAATGTGGTATCTAGTATAAGGAGCAAAGATGAGGGTTCTTAGGCTGTGCTTCAACTGGTCCTGTCACTTAGATGTAATTGATGATGTGAGAACTGGAAAAGGATCCTGGTGATGATCTGGTTCAGACATCTGGCTGAACTCAGTTTATTGCCCTGATTACTACTGGGAGATTTCGGAGGGTAAAGAATAAAGTGACTGGGGCTCATTTGTGCAATGGTTTTTCTTCCTTTAATCTTAATAAATATAAGACTTTTCATATGGTACATGTCACATGTTTTCATTTTAGAAGATTTGGAAAATACAGAAAAGCACAAAAGTCATTTGTTAATGTCTCCCAGAGATGCTGACAAAATCTTGGCGTTGTCTTTCTGGATCTTGTGTGTACTTGTATATGTATATGTGAGGGTGTGTTTTATTTTACAAAATTGTTGATGTTTAGGATGAGTTTAAGTGCAAAGTAGTCTGATTTAGGGTTTTTAGTTTGATGCATGAGGACTAAAGCATAGAAACGAGAGAGAGGAAAGGTAATTTTTATCCCCTTGGTGTTCCGTAATTGTTCATTTGCCACTTCAGTGGATATTGGCTTACACTTGTAATACATTCCAAAACAGCTGGATTTCTTTGTATTTCCATTGATAATTTTCATAGAGTGGATACTCAGTGACACTTAACAAAGAAAAGAAAAAATAGAGCTACACCAGACAGAGCTACACAAGAAAGGGAGGAGGAAGGATGAAGCAGGGTGGATTTATTTTGTGCTTTTTAAAAGACACAGTTTTCTGAATGGGGGATTTTAATGTGTTTAGCCTGACTTTTTGTAGGCCTGGCTTATTTTCCAGTTGATACAATACAACCCAAGCTTTATTAAAAAAGATGAGTATTCTACTTTTGTTCATGCTTATTCCAACAGGAGTTTGCATGTATTTGGAGTGTGAAAGTTTTAAGAACATAGTGTGGTATTAAAATTATGCAGCATTTTTAAAAATAGGACTTTAAAAAATGAAATTTGTGTTGTTTTGTTTTCAAATACAATAGGTAGTTTTGCAGTTTGGGGAGGTCTGTTTTCCATGATTGACTGCAGTATGGTTCAGGTCAGAGGGAAGGAAGATCCCTGGAACTCCATCACCAGTGGTGCCTTAACAGGAGCCATACTGGCAGCAAGAAGTAAGCAATCATAGACATGGTAGTAAAAACAAGATTTTGGGGGGTGGGGAACCTTCATTTCTCTTAATTTAGTGACATCTGTTATATATAAAACTGGGCATTCCCTAATCTGGGATAGCATGAGTGTATATTGTTATTTGTTGGGGGGCATGGGGAAGGTAAGAGGATCAATTTATTTGGAATGTTAGAGAGTAGGAGAGCTTGGAGTTCTAACCTGTACATCACAGTGGTTAAGAGCAGTTAAATTCCAATTCTGCTGTTTATCAGCTGTGTGGGCAGTTTACCAAACTTGTTGTGCCAGAGTTTCTTCATCAGTACTCTTGAATTAATAATTGCACCTGCCACATGGCATTGTTGTGAGTAAAGAACTGTCTTTATCCAGAACATCTTCTGGATCTTTGGGACAGAGGAACCCAGAATTCCTTTGGGCTTAGTGGTTTAGGCCAGGGGTTGGCAAACTTTTCTGTAAAGGGGCCAGATAGTAAGTACAGGGTTTATGGGCTGTGAGGTTTTTGTCACAACTCTCAGCTCTGTCCCCATAACATGAAAGCAGTCATACATAATGCATGAAAGAATGAACGTGGCTGTTCCAATAAAACTTTGTTTACATAAAGAAGCAGTGAGCAGGATTTGACCTCTGGGCCATAGTTTGTTGACCCCTGGTCTTGGCCAGTGAGAAAGAGGGTTTGGGAACCAGCATGGGTCACATGGACAGCTCTCTCCCTTACTGTATCTTACATTAAACTAGACTTCTATTAAAGTAATCCCTGTGTTATTAATGTATTCAGATGGACCAGTGGCCATGGTTGGGTCAGCAGCGATGGGTGGCATTCTCCTAGCTTTAATTGAAGGAGCTGGTATCTTGTTGACAAGATTTGCATCTGCACAATTTCCCAATGGTGAGTCTTCTTTCTGCTTAATACCATAGTTCAGACATTTGGAATGGTTTTCTGATGTTTAGAGAAAACATGTTTTGTTTGCTAACATGGTGGTTTGTGATTTCTGCATTGTGTATTAATATGCTGTGGTTCATAAGGGTTATGGTAATAGGCTCTGGTTCTATTTGAAAAGGTGGATATGGGTGCAGTTGTGTTTAACCACAATAACCAAAATGCTCTGGTTGTATAATTTGCAGTTGTCCTTTCTTTATAGTTTAATTTTATCAATGCTCATTTGCTTATTCTAAAAAATTGCTGATCACTTTGGAGGACCCTAAAGAAAGGTCCTTGCAGATGTGTAACAATAATGATAGTTAACGTCTCCTTGTGCATGTTGTGCCAGGCACTGTCCTAGGTGCTGGGGATCTGGGGGTGTATTGGTGAACAGGGACTTAGGTCCTGGTGGGAGAAAACAAACACATTAACTGATAAATGAGACTGCTTGTGTTGCTTGCTTTGAAAAAATGAAATAGAGTGGTAAGGAGTGACTCATTTGGGAGGGCTATTTAATGGTTCGCAGGGAAAGTCTCTTGAGAAGTTGGTGATATAATTTGCTGCTAATTATTCCTCTTATCTCATATATTGGGGAAAAGTTAAATTGTGGACTAATGATCATTATGTGGTCGTGGTATATCTGCTCAGCTGTTTACTTGCGCAGTTTTATGTAATTACAGAGAACTATAATTGTCTAAATGGGAATATTCCTGGACATTGGAAAGAAACAAAAGTATTGTGAGGATTATTGTAGGGAAACCTTGACCTGGCATTTGGGGAACAAAATATGCAGAGTAGGGAGACATGTTAAAAATTATTTTTGAAGCTTGGAAAAGATTCAGCCTAAAATTAGGAACAGACATAGGTCCCAGTGTGATTTGATTTTCTTGAGGCATCTAGCAAGAGAGTCCATATCTTTTTGGCACAATTTTCAAACGCACGTGATGTCACTGGGATGATCTAGATGACACAGACCCAGACCCTCTCACCTTATTGCTGTTTCGGTCATTACTTCTGAAGACCTAAGACTTTATTTCGGTCACTTTCTGATTTTGTGTTTTAGTTCATTTCCACCAGTTCAGGGTGAAAGACTTCACGTGAAACACCAGAGACGGTCTGTTTTTGGAAACTCAGAAATGGGTATTACAAAAAATTACTTTTTAAGTAAACTTGGTCACTTTGCTTTTAGGTTTTTTCCTTCAAGGAAATGTCCAGATGAAGTGCATTTTATTTTAGATGTTTCTGAAAAGCTGTGCGGGGTTTGGGGGCAGGGGCAGTGGGCTCTTTGAAAAAGTAATCAAGTTTTTACAAATTTCCTGGAAAAGTTCTTAAAAGAGTGGGAAAAAATTAGATAAAGCTCCATCTAAATGATAGTGATAGCTACGTTTGGTTTATCTTTTCACGTAGTTTATTTACAAGTTTTCTGTAAAGAACAGATGCTGCTTTGATAGGGAAAAAATACCACTGGCCTGAAGCGTGGGAAAGCTGCGGGGAGTTCTGCCGTTCCTTCTTTCTCTGTTCCCCCCATGTATTTTTCAGTCTGCTTGAAGAGAAAAAGTGATTATTTCCATAGAAGACTCTCTAGAGCCTCAGTTTTTCTTCATTCGCAGGCCCTCCTATCCAAGAACAGGACTTTATTCTGCAGCAAGCTAGGGGTGTCTTCCCATTTCAGAACTCATTCCCTACTTAATTATATAAATTGTATTACCAAGTTATTTCACAACACGACTAAGGTATTTAAAGCTTTGTGGAAGTAATTTTAAATAGCTGCTGAAAAATATGTGAAGAAGTATGAGAGATTCTTCCAATTTTGATACGGCATCTTGTTAACAGCAACCGCTTTAAAAACTAATATTGCTTCTTGCCGTAACTAATCCATCTGACTGACTTCCCCTGGGTTGCACTTGAGAGCTGTTCACTCCGGACCATGAGGAAGACCAGCCATGTTATACCAGAGTTCAGGCGCTCTCAGGGTGAGCAGGCACGGAGACTCAGATCGCAGCTCTCATGTGGCGTATCATGCTGTTGAGTCGATGGATTTACTCTCTACAGAGAGTTACTGTTTTTAATTATATATATTTAATTATATATATTATATATAATTATATATATTATACACACACACACACACACACACACACACACGTGGTTTAAAAGTTGTTTTCTTAATTGCAGGTCCACAGTTTGCTGAAGACCCCGCCCAGTTGCCTTCAGCCCAGTTACCATCCTCACCTTTTGGAGACTATCGACAATATCAATAGGACTTCTTTCCCAGGATTTCTTCAACAGAACGAGCTGTAGTTCAAGAAAGGATGTCAAAAGATCAGGTTACAGTCTGTTTTCAAAACCATAGATGGGGAAACTATGGTCAAATAGGCAATGAAGAGACATTTAACACTTTTCTATTTAAAGGAACATGGAGGGGGGGGCGGGATATAAAAGATAACACATTTATTTATTCACACTGGGATTGCATTTGTGATGAAAATAAATGTCTCTAATATTACGAGTACTCAGAAGATGAAGGACCAAAGGGCAAACAGCAGTGAAACATGACCATTTCCTTGGCAGCAGCTGTGCCTGGTTTGTGTGTTCTGTTAGTCAAACAATAAAATACTCCTGGAACTTGCTCTTTTAAGCTAAGTTGTAGAGTTCTGCTTTTCATCCTTGAATCCTTCAAATAATGCAAAGTGCGTTGGATGTTGCACGTTTATAGTTAGGCTCTCACCCTCCCTGAAGTGAATCGTGTGTGAGAAGAACCATGCAGGGCCAGCATGGATCAGTCCGCAGGAAATATCTGATGGATTGAAGGCCACGGTAAAAACTCACCCTTTGCTTCAAAAATAAAGTGTGCTATTTCCTGGTTTTGAAGATGTCAGATTCACACCTGTCTACCTTTGGGGCTACTGCGTCTTGGTTCTTGATCATCAGAACGTCACCAGCAACGACTTCGTTCCGATATACCCAGTTCTGTAGGGCAAGAGTTTATGAAGGGTATAAGTAGCTCTGGAAAAGTTTGGTGTTTATTATGTGCTTGAAAATAAAATATATGCTGTTTTTAATGTGTTCTAAGTTCCCTGAAGCTGATCTTCCTAAAGGGTGTGTTTTGGGGTCTGGTTGGGCCTAGAAAATGGATGAGTTTTTCGTAATAGGCCATTTTACTGATTATATTGGAAATGACATGTGGCCTTACAGAAGGCATGATGTTATCAATTCCCAGCTGTCTACATCTCTGTGAAATGGAGAACAAGTCCATTTGGGTACGGTGAGCACACATTTGTCTTTTGGCCCAACACCATACACATAGTAAGCATTTAATTACTAATGGTTTGTTTTTTGTGTGTGTGGTAAAATGTACATAAAATAACATTTTGACTATTTGTAAGCGTTAAACTTAGTGGCATTTAAATGCAGTCACAGTGTTGTGTAGCCATCACCATTCATACACAAACCTTTTCATCATCACCAACATGAACTGTACTCATTTAACAGCCACTTATTTTCCTTCCGCCCAACCTCTGGTAACCACAATTCTACTTTGTCTCTGGATTGGCCTACTAGGTACTCCGTGTAAGTAGAATCATACCATATTTGTTCTCTGTCTTACTCTGTTTAGCATAATGTTTTAAAGTCCATCAATCATTGATGTTGTAGTATATACCAAAATGTCGTTCCTTTTGATGGCTGATACCGTATTGCATGTGTACGCCATATTTTAGTTAGCCATTTGTCTGTTGATGGATACTTGGGCTTCTCACCTTTTGGCTCTTGTGAATAATCCTGCTATGAGCATTGGTGTACAGGTATTTGTTCAAGTCCCTGCATTCAGTTCTTTTAGGTGCATACCCAGGAGTGGATTTCCTGGGACATTTGGTAAGTCTATGTTTTTGAGTGGTTGTACCATTTTATATTTCCACCCCCAATGTTCAAGGGTTCCAATTTCACCACATCATCATCAACATGTATTTTCCTTTTTTAGAAATTATAGCCATCCTAGAATGTGTGAAATGGTGTCTCATTTTGATTGGCATTCTGATGACTAATGGTACTGTGCTTATTGGCCATTTCTATTTCTTCTTTGGAAATTTGTATTCAAATTGATGGCTCTTTAATTTTCAGGCAAAATACAAGGAAGATGTATATCAGAAGAGCAATAATTGCAGAGAAAATACTTCACATTTCTTAAGGACTCATGAATTCCTTCTCTTACATGGTATATCAGTTTGGAAAGTAAGTTACTTTCTTACAATTCTGGTTCTTTGAGGGTTGTGTATATGTGGTGTTGACATATTTTTGCCGTTTTGTTAATTCTGGTGTCCAGCTCAGCATATCTGAAGCAATCCTTGGTTACAGATGAATTTTATGGAATCTGGGATAGGGTAGAAGACAGTCCTGGAAGAGGTGGGAAACCAGTTCTTTGTGAAGAACTTTAAATTTTATTCCACCATACACAGGACACTAGGAGGACTAAAACCTTCCCAGTATGTTTCCCAGGTCACCTGCCCCTCTTCTGCTCGGCCAGTAGCCGCCTCACTCTGTCCTGGAGTTAGAGGCTGTGCTCTGGGGAAAGGCTTTCTGCCCTTAAGGTAGAGCAGGATTGAAGACAGTGGTTCAAACCTACCTCGATGGTCCAGTCTGGAGATGGAAGCTGGAGGAGGAAGGGGGACAAACAACCTCTTCTCCTTAAATTTTCTCCTTGAAACCCCAAGTACTGTCTGCGGTGTTTCCTCTGCCTGCCCCGTTATTTTGCCTGCTCCTTCCTGGCAGTCCCTGAAGGCCCAGCTTGGTTGCCTCAGCAGCCTTCTCTGAGTCCTGGGACCGGGCCAGGCCTCTCCTCGTCCAGTCGCACCTCGCAAGAGGTGAGGGATTTTACAGTGAACATCTGTACACCCACCACCGGGATTCTATTAAATTTTTTAAAGTTTGGCAAATAATAGAAAACCAAGAGGTTTAGATTCTAATGTCCTCTTACAATACTGACTTGAAATGTTTAATATTCTGAAACTTAATTTGGTGTGCTTGAGTAGAGCCTAGAGTAAACGGTGAAATAACCAAGTTGTCTTAAGTAGATAATTGAAGAAACAAGCAAAGGGAAGGGGTTTTTCCCTAGGTCTTCCCTGGAATAATGGAGTTAATTCCTCAGGTTCAAGGTTGGAATGCACATGTGCATAATAGCCCATCTGCTCCTCCCCACACACACACCTATTTTTTTTAACTGTGACACTGGAATTGGTAGGTGATGGTGAATTTCTGAGTCGTTTGGGGTACAGCAGCATCTGCTGTTGAAGTGCATCTAGTGTCGTATCTGCAGAATATGAAAGCACAGTCCTAGCGCCGCCCGGTGGTATGTCAGTTAAAACTCTGTCTAAACTCTGTTCAGTCGGTGCCATCATGGGTCAACAGGCTCCCTGCAGCCTGGGTTTGTAAATAACTGAAACACAGCCACATCTGTTCATAAATGCATTGTCCACGGCTGTTCTCTCGCTAAAATGGCAGAATTGTTGAAACAGGCTTTGGCTTCCAACCAACATAGGAGAAACAGGATTGAATCTCAATAGCTTCTGAAATGAAATTTCTTGAGGACTGGGCATTTCACAATAGGTACTCAGTAAATACTGAGTGAATGAATAAATTACACGGAGATGTGTCTACACAGAATTTAAAAGTCTGAAGCTTTTCAAAGAAATTAGATTCTAATACTTCAAGTATACAAATGTAATTGAAAAAATAAATATTCATCTACCGTCCACACAGCGTTAAGAAAGAAACGTTCCTCATCCTGTTGAAGTTTCTTGTGCATAACTTCCTGATTTCATTCACTTACGTCCCCTCAAGAATTATCTATTATCCTGAATTCGGTGCTTAGCATTCCATGTATTTGTTTGTTTATTTCATCATTTTACTTTGAGATAATTTTAGATTTATAGAAAATGTGCAAAAATAAGAGAGTTTTGGTATCCCTTTGACTCAGCTTCTGTTAATATCTTGCATAACCATAAAACAATTAGTAAAATTAAGACATGCACGTTGGCTACCTTAACTAAGCTATAGACATTTCTGAATCTCGCGAGTGTTTCCTGTAATGTCCTTTTTCTGTTCCAGGATCTGAGACCCCATCCCGAATTCCGTTAGTTGTCGTGTCCCAGGCTCCTCCAGTTTGTGACGGTTCTTCAGTCCTCATTTGTGACCTTGATACTTTTGTAGAGTAGTGATCTCTTATTTTGAAGAAATCCTCAGTTTGGGTTTGATGTTTTCTCATAAAGTTAGTGTTTTTTCACCAGCTGAAGGATATTTTTCACCAGCTGAAGGATTTCTCATGATTATGAATAAAACTGTTATAAACATTCACTTACTAAGTTTTATGTGAAGATGTTTTCATTTCTTGGTAAATACCTGGGATTGCTGTATCACAAGGTAGGCACATGTTTAATTTTAGAAGAAACTGCCAAAATGTTTTCAAACCAACGAACATTTTGCAATCCCACCAGCGACGTGTGAGAGTTCTGGCTGTTGTGCATCTTCACCACACTCGGTAGCACCAATTTTTTTTCTTGTTTTTTTAGTTAGTAATTATTCTAGGTGCATAGTGATATCTTGTGGTTTCAATTTGCATTTCTCTTATGACTAATGGTGTTTAGCATCTTTTCATGTTTATTTACAGTCTTTATGTCTTTTTGGTAAATGCTCAAATCATTCACCTATTTTTTTATTTTTTCTTCTTGTTTGGTTTTAAGAGTTCTTTATATTATTGTGGTAACTTTGTCAGACATGTGATTTGCAGGTGTTTTTTGTACCTTTGTCAAAAATGAGTTGTGTAGGTCTCTGGGTTCTCTATTCTGTCCCATTGGTCTGTATTTCTGCTTTTCACCATATCACACTATACCTTTATATTAAGTTTTGAAATTGGGTAGTGTGAGTCATCCGACCTTGTTCATCTTCCTCACAATTGTTTTGGCTATTCTCGTTCCTTTATCTCTCCCTATAAATTTTAGGAGCTTACTGATATCTACAAAAAAGTCTCCTGGATTTTTATTGGGATTGAGTTTCATCAGTGTTTTATAATTTGTAGCACAGAGGTCCTGTATGTTTTTTGTTAGATTTAAACCTAAGTATTTGGGGAGTGCTATTCAAATGGTATTGCTTTTAAAATTTTGAATTCCATTCATTATTAGTAAATAGAAATACAGTTCATTTTTATACATTGACCTTAACATCCTGTAACCTTGATGAACTCAGGTACTAGTTCTAGGAAGTTTTTTGGAGATCCTTTGAGATTTTCTGTGTAAACAATCATGTTTACATAGAAATAAGCAACAGTTGTACTTATTTTCAGTTTGTGTGGGTTTTATTTCTTTTTCTTGACTTAATGTGCTGGGCTCCGTACAGTGTTGAATAGAAGTAGTAAGAGAGGGCATCTGCTTATCTTGAAGGGAAAGTAGTCACTCTTTACCAAAAGTGTAATGTTACCTATAGAACTTTTATAGATCTCTTTATAAGGTTAGGGAAGTTCTCTTCTATTCCTAATTTGCTGAGTGTTTTTGTTTGTTTGGATCATTAATGGATTTTATCAAATACTTTTTCTGCATCTGTGGAAAAGACCACCTGGTTTTTCTTCTTTAGTTTGTTAATATGGTGAATTACACTGATTGGTTTCCAAATGTTGAACCAGGCTTGCACTCTCAGCATAAACCCCACTAAGTCATGTTCTATTATCCTTTTAATATACTTGATTTGCTAATATTTTGGTGATGATTTTTGTATTTATGCTCATGAAGAATACTAGCCTGTGGTTTTCTAGTCTTACAGTGCCTTTGTCAGGTTTTGGCATTGGAGTAATGCTGACCTTAAAGTGAGCTGGGAAGTGTTTCTCCCTCTTCTATTTTCTGGAAGAGATTGTGTAGAATTGGTATTCTTTCTTCTTTAAATGTTTGATAGAATTAATCAGTGAAACCATCTATCTCTGGAATTTTCTTTGTTGGGAGGTTTTTTTTAAAACTACAAATTAAATTTCTTTACTAGTTATGGCAGTATTTAGATTATCAATTTCTTATTGAGTGAATTTTGGT